TTCACTGCAGGAAAAACGAGAAGCCTTTCTCCAGATAAGTGACCATATCCATAAAAAAAGAATTCACTCCAAGTTGATAAAAAACAAGAGCAGACTCAAGAAGAACGCAGAGGAAAGCATCAGGAATTCTTTTTAAACTCACGCCGTACCGTAGTTGATTTGGAGCGGCTACATACAGTCACTCTATGCCTCAAGGTGAGGAAGGCATGTGGTGTGGATTCGATCCCCTAGGAGTCAATAAAATATGGCGGCAGAGGGAAGGCATAAAAGCGCCATTCCTTCTTACATCAAGTGTGGACTTCGCGATGTTTCTCTGGCAAATGAAACTAGTAATTGTCCCTCTCTTCAAAGCGGCACAGCAACCGAGAGTTTCAACTATCATGACATTACCTAACTGTTAACTCCTGGCAAACTCTTCCCCTCGATTACCTCGGAAGAGTTAAGAGGTCTAATTAAATATACTTCTGGAAGGAGTGGTTCTGTCCACAGCAAAGCTTCACCCTGCGTAGGATTACTGAGCGATGTCGTCGATCCCAGTTGTTTTGTTTGCCAACCTTCCTCACTTTACGGCTGTTTTCGATTCTTCGTGAAAAGTTTTTAAATGCTAACAGATTCTCGAGATACTGTCTGAATGTTGAAAGTGGCTATGTCTACCGCAAAAGTGAAATGAGGGGCATCTGGGTGATTTGCTAATGACTGTGAACTTCGCCAGCGAGTTGTGCCTTTGCTAGGGAGTAGAATGTCTTCTTTAAAATAGTGCTGACCCTGGCAACGACGAGGGTCTCTTTCTAGACGGAAGGCGCCGTTCCAGGTATCTGAGAAAATATCATATTGATATGGAATATGCAAGATGATACTGTACCCCTGAGCAGTACGGGCAGCTAGTTTCATCACCTGACGGCTTCCGGTTGCAGCACAGGGGGGAAGGTGGCTTTCCGGACCTGGCTTACCGCCCAGAGGAAAAACGTTACAAGAGGCCCAATAGACACGGCTAGATCACTAGCGAAACTGTCAAGGAAAACAAAAGCGGAAATCTACAAAGTTACGTATTTCGAGTCAACCGAGCCATGATTTACAGTAAACGTTAAATAAGAGGATCGCTTTCGTCTCCAGCGCTTTTGGCAATTTGTCAAATATTTGGGCTGAGAAAGCAGCGACCCCTTTTCCGAAGGTTTGCCAATACCATGTCTCAGTCAGGTTTGCGTTTTGCACGGCGTGAAGGCAGTTCTCTAAGGAAATAGCAAGAATGTTGAACTGCATGTTGCAGCGTTGGTTTCGATGCATAATGAAGGTTAAATGGCTGGCACGACCATGTAAGGAATCATTCTATTCCCTTCCACACACGGTTGACCTCGGTAGATACTAAAATTAATAAAGTGAGGTTTAACATGTTAGATAAGATTGTTGAGCGTAAGTCATTTACCTCAATCCATGAGCTTCTCGTGTGAAAGCCCAAACATTGCAGATGACTAGATGCCAGAATGTAACTTAAAGGAATAAGGAAGAGACAGATTTACTTCAAGAGAAGAATTGTGCATTCTGCTGTGCAGAGACCCATGCCTAATAACAAAAGAGCAGTAAAACGGTGAATTCAGCAAACAAAATTAATAATGAGGTCCTGCTTATGCAAACGGTTCAACGTAATGATCTCACAAACAAACCCATTGCATGGTTAACACCATAGTAGACATTCGTTCCATTAGTTACTGAATAAGAATTGAACATGCTAACAAGGAAATAAAATAAAATAGAAATAACAGTATACTACAAATTATAAAACTGTAAAGATTTAATTATGTATTTGGGTTATGAGAGCATTTCTGTGGGGTTACGATTTGCTCCAGCCACGATTCCGGGTTAGCGCAGCAGGATGGCGGCTTTGCTCCATCCAACTCCATCAAGTAGTATTACATCCATGGTTTGAGGGCGGATGGTTAAATATTACGAAGCAGTGTTCTGCTTGAATGGCCGTCGTAGTACGTAGAAGCAAAGGGGCACAGAGGAAGTTGTGCATGGCCTCGTGTAAGGTCTTATATGGCCTATATGGTCATTCTTCACGACTATATCAGTGTATAGTGCCTACAGTTGGCTGCATGTTGTAAATTTTAGACTCGTCGATTTAGAAGAGATCAAAAACGACAGTCAAAAGGATAACAGTATGCAAGAACTGACAAATCGATCGAGCTGGACTACAGAAGGAGAAAAGCTACAGCAATCT